AAATTAATTGTTATTAAAAACTGAGAATTTTGGAAAAAACTATATCAGAGATACGGCAGCAATGTTTTTCAAAGTAATCCGCCTAATTAACATTGCGCAAATACCTGTTGTTTAGTAATTATTTAAAATTCTGGTATCCATGGATAAATAGAGAGTGACAATAAGATAGACAAGGATAAACGGTAAATTCAACAGGAATTATTGGATGACGGAACCTATTTCGAAATGTCAACCTGTTCTCATGACCTCGAATTCTGCGGGCTTTGGTGTTTACATAAATAATCCATACAACACCAAACTTTTGAATGGTTAACTCCAGACAAGCTAGTGCCTGTGTAATCTCCTTATTATCCACTCTTATCAAGCAGCTTCTCGTATTCAGTTAATTAACTCGTGCTCCATTTGTATCTCCTTGTGCTGTGTGTATCGTACAAACGTGGTAGGAATGTAGCCCTTCCTCGGTATTTATTTGGTGCTGGGAAAGTGTCAGTTATTGTGTTAAAGTGTTATTGTGCTCTGAGTGCCCCTGGAAGACCCTGATTCGATTATATCCAATACTTGTTCCTCTGTGCTTGGAACCCAAACATCGATTGTCGTCCACTATTTTCCTGGAACCACTCTCCTTACCCTTTGTTGGCGTGAGTTCTTTCAGCTTCTGCTATGTTACTGCAGCATTTCCCCTGAACTAATCGCAGATCCGCAAATTCGTGAAAGAAAATTCAAAGTTTTTCGAAAATGTGTTATTTACTGATGAATGTACTTTTCATAACAATGGTCTCGTGAAAGACATAACTTTCATTAATATTCTGATACGAATCCGCGCGCATACAGGGTCATAAAAAATTAAAATAGGTGGTCAGTTAATGTGTGGGGTGGAATACTAGGAAAATATTTAATTGGACCCTATTTCTTTGAAGGACATTTAAATGGTTTGATGAATAAACATGTGGCTTCAATTGGATGGAGCTCCGCCTCATTATCACTGCGAAGTTCGGCAATTTTTAAATGTCAGCTTTCAAAACAGGTGGATTGGCAGAAATGGGTTTGAAAATTGGCCCCCCAGATCTCCGGACTTAACTCTACTAGATTTCTTTTAGTGGGGTACATAAAAGGAATTGTCTACCATACGCTTCCGACAACTTCACACGATTTAAAAACACGCATAAGAGATGCTTTTAAAACTATAACTCCGCAAATGTTGTCCAGAGTTAGCAGTTGTTTTGAAAAAAGAATTTACAAGTGCCTGGAAATTGACGGTCAACATTTGGAACATTTATTATAAATAATTTGCCTTTGTTTTGTGTTATTGTTGATATGTTATTTAACCTTTTAATAAAAAAAACACCAAATGGTGCACAGAACCATTATTTGATGTATTTTGTAAAAGGGCAAAAACTTAGTTATAAACATCCTAGTACCATTCGATAGGTAATTAAAAACTGCATTTCCTGGTAAGCTAAAAAATATAGGGTTGTATTTAAATTAATCAAGTTATAGCCACTTAATTATAATAACTTGATTAGTATAAATTTGTGGACACCCTGCATAAAATGGTAAGTTTATTATCATTGGGATATAAAATATGATTTCTTGTAACACTACACTACGAATTACGTGTACATAACTTAAATAATTCTAAAGTATTTGACACATGAAAATAATATTAGATTTTGATAAAATTCGAATTACTTAAAAAACCTTTAGATTTAGACATTATAAATCTTAGTAAAACAAACACTTATTTTGCTTAGAGAATCCAAAAATAATAATATGCAATAATATATAGGGTATTTCATTTAGAAAAACACAACTTTAATACTTTTAGGGCTTTTGGGACACTCTGTACATTACAAAAATATTTTTAAAATGTGCACCCGATAGGCGTCTGTGGATTCATCAAATAATGCTTTGCAAAAAACAAATGGGCTAGCCGGAAACGTCCGTGCCCTATAGCGTGAATAACCCTGTATATATAAAAAGTAAAAATTAATTGTTTATACTTTCCTGACTGTGTTTTAATTCCAAATCAAATTCATTCCTGGGTTTCAGTCATTTATTGTCTCTATTTATCAATCAAAATACGTTTCGGTGTATTTTTCCACCATCATCAGTT